ACCCCCCCCCCCCCCCCGCTCCGCTCCGCTCCGCTCCAAAAGCTTCCCTGGCGCCTCTCTCCGGGCCACAAGGCATATTCGCCGCGAACCTCCGTTCCGCGGCAACCTTCCTCCATCCTTCTTCCCAGCCTTACCTCGCTCCAGCCCCAGAGGCTCCGCCAGCGCTGCCATCTTCACGCCCGAGAACCCCACCGCCGCCTCGCACGTCAAAGCGGAAGGGTGGGAAATGCGTGTAGGATTTTGCAAGCCGGCACGCAGCCCTGCCCCCGGGCTACTGGTGCGCGTGTCTGCCTGGGCACGTGTGCTAAGGCCCCGCTTCCCGGGCGCTGCTCAAGCCAGGTAGGAGCCTCTTCCGTTGCCCCCCCCCAAAAAAGAAAAAAAAGAATGGAGTTACGAAGTCCTGCAGCTCTTAGATGGAAGTTCGAGCTCAGAGAAGCAAAGGGCCACCAGTTTAAGCCAAACCTACGCCTCCTCCGCAATTTGGCTTAGAGCCGACGATGCATAAGCAGCAGGTGCCGATTTTTCCAGCAAACGTAAAATGGACTCCATCGTTGAACGTGCCTGGAATCACTGGATGAATCTTTACATAAGCAAAATATACCCATCGTGCCTGCCCCGTGACATCAAAGCAAGCAAGGCTTTTATTTTGTAGGCATAGCAGCGACTGACAACTGCGGGACTCGGGAGGAATTCGCGTGACATCCTGGCATAAATTAGTCTCTTGTACAAATGTTTATTCTAATTTAGAAGTTTATCGAAGTAACCTGCCTTGACTTGTAAGCAAGTACTTTGATATTTCATTGTTTGCAGTTTAATTATGCAACAGTACAGTGTTTTGCAAAACCATCTCAGTAAAGGACAGCACTTGGCCAACCTTATCTGAGCTTGGCCGGTAAGCAGGGTCCAGCCCAATTAGAACTGGGAAGGGATTTTTCCAGGAAGAACCCAGGCTGCAGACTAGACTGGGAAATTTAAAACAAGCATGCACGCACACACACACACTTAGGAAAGCAATGGCAAATCACTTCCCTATTGATACAGGAAAAACCCAACATGTGTTCCCAACTCACCAGGAGTCAAGATCAGGTTGAAGGAGCTCTACCTTTAGTAGAACATCAGTAACATGTATCAGACACTATGGGTTAACCATGCAAACTTTTACATAAACATCACGCAAAAGTATGCATGAGTAAACAAATCAAGATGCGAGAAATAAAAACATCACGGTGGTGCAGTGATGGGAGTCACAGAATTGGATTCAGTTGTGATAGAGGTCATGAGATAACTTTAATCCAGTAAATTTCAGCTTAAAAATCTAACCCTATTATGAGAAAATAGCTCAGGTGTGAACCAACAGAGCTTCCCATCAGCCTCTGTGTATGTTTCTCTCAACGCACCCTTCTGCTGTTCCATTCTCATTTTTCCTCCAGGCCCAAATTTCATCCAGGTGCTGTATTTGGTTTGCCAAATTTTGCTTGCAAGAGCCTGCCCTTCAATTAAATCACACTGGTGTAACTATTTAGTGAAATGAGCCATGAACTCCCTTTCAATACTGGGTGTTATACAAGTGGGAGCAGAGAAGCTGAGGGTTCGGAAGTATAACCTAAGCTAAACATTCTATATACTTCTCTTGTCTTCAGTAAAAATGGATTTTGCTCTTGGGGTTTTTTTTTCCTGCTGTAGTAATTCAATTCTGGCAGTTTTTCAGCCTGCACCAAACGAAAACCTGGGTTTTAGTTTTCAGCTACCAATACAAGCAGACACGTTCACTGGTGATTTCACGGGAACCAAGATATCCAAAAAAACGTTGCCAAGAAAACTGCATGTTCTTGTTCATGTAGTCATCAGGAGTCAAGATTGACTTGAAGGCATTATATTCAATGTGGTATTAAATGCAGTGTTTTGTTTCCCCAAGAATCTTTCACTTCATAATTAGAGAAGAAGTTTCTAGGCTTTGTGACTTCAACAACGTACTTGAAAATGCAGACACTCTCAAAATTTTAGATACCAGAAGGGTAGTTAACCATGCCTAGTAGCTGAAAATAAATATATAGTATAATTTCTTGTGCCTCCCTTGCCTAAGCATTCATTGAGCAAGGTAAAATGGGTTTTAAATACAGAATTAGGTAAAATAAGTTCTAAAAATGCACTCAATTCAAATTGTGAGATGCAACCTTTCTCTTTCATTGCTGACCTTGAAACTGTTATTTCTTCTGTCTCTGAATAAATGTAACCCCACCTAAATGTTCCCTTTAGTATCATTTCCCACATTGGTCAAATGCAGGTAAACCAAGCTGACCTTGGTGCACCTTGATGAAGTTTGCTCATGTTCTTCCTCAATCCACAAAGCCATTCTCCAAATTGATGGAAAGCAAATGCTCCAAATCTATTTGTACCACTTGGTCTTTTCACCCCCATTCTTCCCCCATAACCAGTAACTACAACATACAATTGACCTTTTTCATTACCTTTCGATCCTTTTCCATTTGCTGCTTCCTCCTCCAGTCTCCCTCTGCCTCCTCATAGCACCACGAGCAAAAATCTGGATCGCTGATTATCAGTATGTTTCAGCAGCAATTAGTTTGGCATGTAATTCAATACCTTCTAAGGGAGTTCTCACTATCAGTCTAGAATCAGGCAAAGCGCATCTTCAAACATGCCAGTCCCATATACATTTCACATGAAGAAGAAAACATTTAACACTTTATTCTTGTTTAAACAAAAATATCCAAATACACAAGGGACTGGTGGAAAGTTACATGTTAAGAAGAAATGGGGTGGGACAGGCAGACCTGAAACACCCTTCTAAACAAAACCAGTTAAAAAAGTTACCTCAACTGGTTGACAGGGGCCTCATTGGCTAGCAGCCTGGGAAGCAGAGCCTCACCTGGCTAGACACCTGGGAAAAGGAAGAGTCTCCATTCATCACTCCAGTGGGGGCTCCATCATGTATCCATTTTCAGTAGATAAGTAACCATCAGCCGACTGCATGGATTCTTGGTCCAGGAACATATCCTGACTGGTTTCCTCCAACGCTTCTCCCATCCCATTGTCCTGCCCCCTGTCCTCCCGTTTTTCTCCACCCCGCTCAGCCCTGTCACGCTTGTGCTCGCGGTCACGGTCCCTATCTCGATCCCTATCACGGCGACGTTCTCTGTCACGATCCCTGTCTCTGTCTTTGTCACGATGACTACGTCGACGGTCCCTCTCTCTCTCCCTATCCCTATCCCGGTCCCTCTCTCTACCTTTCTCTTCCCCTTCAGGCTTCACCTCTATCCCATCTACACCAATCTCGCCAAGAGTAGCCTCATCAGGCTGGGCCTCTCCCACTTCTGGCAATTCCTCCTTCTTGTCTCTGTCCCGATCCCGATCCCTCTTGCGGTCTCTAGAACGACTGCGACGCTTGCGTTCCCGGTCTTTATCTTTGCTGCGTTCCCGGCTGCGCTTCCGCTCCTCTTTCTCTCGACTCCGTGTTCGCCTCCTGCGCTCTCGGGATCGGCTGCGACGGCGTTCCCGCTCCTTGTCCCGGTCTCGGCTGCGGTCTCGGCGATCACGTTCACGTTCACGGTCCCTATCCCTGAGAGAGCCAAGATAAAGTGAGCATCAGACAAGTAGAATGAAAAAACTAGCAGTCTGAGCACATAGTATTGACAATACAATCTGGTTTTTTTCATCAAGAAAAGTAATTTCCCTTATGATCAAAAGGTTTCAAATGGAATCACAAAGATACTATCCTTCTAAGAACCTTCAAAAAAATACTATCTATCCATCCAATCTGTACATTTTTTTTAACCAAATAAAAGACATTCTGCTACAATTAAGAATCTTCAAATTTTAAGTATCAGAAGATTCACTATCAGCTTTCTGGATCCTCTAACACACAACTGGAATTGTATAAATTTTTGAAAGAGAGTAATCAGTTAATTCTTCTGTTGCTTCTAGAAGGAAACAGAATTAACACTCGTTAAGATCTGGAATGATGGCAGAAACATCATTCTACGTTATCCACATATAATTTAGCTTACCGTTCATCATATCGAGAAGTGTCATCCCGACCTGAATGTCTTATATTTACATCAGCACCTCCCCGTCGAGTACCACCGAGACCGCCACCTGCAAATGAAAAGAAAAACTTGTTTCCAGTTGTATTCTGTCTTTGGAAGTTGGCCTCTTTGGAATTTGATAAAACGAGTAGAAAAAATAATTCTCATGTCGGCAGTTTTCCTTACTCAGCTTAGTTTAACTTAGGCATGTTGTGAAAACAGCTCATCAGAAGTTCAAATTCAGCCTATTCAAAGCACCTGAATTATACATGCAATAGAAATAATTTCTCTTGCAAAGCAGGGGAAAAAGTTAAGAAAAGGGAATCCTATTTAACACAGAAGAATCAGGAGCACTGAAAATAGCATTTTGTTAACATAATGGTTCATGTATAATGCTAAGCCATAATAGAGTTTGTTTTTGTTTAGTATGAAGTGCCAACCCATTCATGACTTGTGGTAAGTAAAACCCAGGCTATTACAACTTATTCAATAAAGCACAGTTTAAATCATAGCTTAATATTGTGTGAATGCATCACGGAGTTAGATGATATCCTCAAAGTACCTTTAATTAGCTTAACAAAAGCCTATTTAGAATGCATCATATACCTGGGTTAAATCTACTAATAATGAGATGCAAATTTTCCTCTTTAGAAAAAAATGTAACTCCCCTGCCCTTCAATTTACTGAACCTCACTTAGCTCTCTTCTAGACATGGTCCCCCTTTAGTAAACGTGAACAACTTAACTGTGGGAGGCTGAACTGCACACAATATGTAGTATAATTATAATCCAGTATAATTCAGAACCTTAAAAACGATGGCCTTTATAATCCAATTATTAAAGCAGGTGTTTGATATAATGCTTTTCCACATGCTTACCAAGTCTACGTGGGCGCCATCCCTTCACCGTCCGGCCTCTCTCTACATCCACTAGCACTCGCCTGCCATCAATTTTTTTCCCATCGGCGTGCTTGTATGCCGCTGCAACAGATTAGGAGGAATATCCAGGGGAAAGGGAAGGGCAAATGGAATTGCCATTATCTACAGTGTACATAAACAAGCCCACCCTCCCCCAAAGACTAATCATATGGAAAGGATTCGGACACGCAGCTCCTATGGCCCCAATGATTCCTTGGGTGAGGGATTGCTCCACACCTGCCTTGGGAAATCTTGCCTCAAGTTTTCTAGAACAAAACCTGAATAGAGTGCTTGCCCGGGACAAAATCTACATTATTGCAGAATAAAGGAACCAGCAAAGACATCTCAAGAGTAACCTGGCCACAACAGCTATAAATCCCTCAAGTTGTGGAGCAAGCCCAGTTCCATCCCATAACGCAACCCCCCTTAGCCTCTGCTGCAAAAAAAAAGAAATGTTATTGAGCAGTCAAGACAGTCACATTACATTCATCACTTGCCCAGAGGGAAAAAGTCTGGGTAAAAACAATTCCTCCATCCCAGTCCTCCCAGCTCACTTTAGGGTGGGCCAGGATCTCCTGCTCCTTCAATAGTATCCCCAACCAGCCAGTCCCAAAAAAGCTAGGCCAAATCCCTCGCCCAAAGCGAGAGCTCCTGTGGTTAAACTAAACAACTGAAAAACAGGTTAAGGAAAAGGGGA